ATAAGCCACAAAATGAGCGCAATTGAACACTTTTTAACGCCGTCTTCGTGGTGGATTAATGCAGAAAAAGGTTAGTTCGATAATATTTGGTATTAAGGATGTATCGTTCAACTTCATCAACACAAAATTTCATTTGTTTTCTGGCTCATTAACCAGTCGCTTATATTTTTCTCCCTTTTCGACAATCTCTAATTCATCAATCCGACAGCCAACCAGCTGCCCACCAGCTCACCATCCATTCTTTTGCTCACTTCGTCAACTCAATCAGCATTTTCATTCGATCAGTTGGCTTTAAGCAACACTAAATCAATAAGTTTTGAACGCGACGTTGAAAATTTTGCTTCACTTTAATAATATATTCGTTCGTATTTAGTTACGTGCAAGCGCACTGACGTCGTTCGTCTTTCGTTGATCTGTTCGCATACAATAATATCAATTTGAGAATGTATGTGTATTGTACAAATACACATTCGGGATTTTTGTTCATGTTGTGGCTAAATATTTCGAGCATTTTGTCTGAGGTTCGCAAAGCATAAAAACTTAAAGAATGCGTCTCTCACTGTGTTTAAATGTTTTTTCATCTGATACTGATGTGTATAGCTTCAAAATTGAACATGAGATATCGCACAGCTATTCTTAATCGCAGTCAGTGACTAATAAGTACTTGTTGACCATTCATAGTTTGCCCAATGATTAGATTACGTATCGTGAATGTAGCGCCGTGCCGCTTGTGAGTGCCACCTTTGTGTTTAACGAATCTTAGCTGCTTGCGATAGGAGCAGTCATAAAAAGCTGTTTGTGTGAATCAGTGAAACGAATTAAATTTTCTACAGCTGAGGCTGTAGTACGGATGAGTTGTAGATGGTAGCCTAAAATAAAGATGGGAACGATTTAAAATCAATCTAATTTGAGACTGTGCGCTATCCTTAAAGCTGCCATATCTTCAGCGCTGAGCGCGAACTCCACTCGCAACATTTACTGCTGAAATTTTATATGGCTCCCTATTTTTCACAAATTTAAATCATTTCTGTGTCGAGCATTAAAAATTACGGCAAAATCCATAAAAATGAGCGGCAAAAAGAAAAAGTTCTGTGGCAAAAAAGACGCTCGCTGGAAACTGATAAACCCCAACAGTTCGCGTCACACGATATACGGGTTGATTGTTGCAAAATTTTGTAAATAGTTTCCCTACAATGAAATGAATCATTTATAAGTGATGATTCAAAGTGCGCCGCAAAAGAAATGAAAAAAAATGGAGCGGCAAGTGGGAATGAACACTCATTGTCAGAACACTCACTCTGTTACTAGTTCAGTGTCAAGTTGGAGCGTTTCACCGCCACTTTAGGTGCAATGTTTTCGGTTAAAGTTTTGAATTTAGCTGAATCAAGTTTCCGACGAATATTGTTCCAAATCAACCGATATTTGCAAAATCCATAATGATCATGTTTTCTGCATCACACTCATATATACGATGCGAATGATTTTTTTGTGCGAACGCAACATTGCATCGAAATGAAACGACATGTAAACAGTTCTCAAGTCACTGATTCATTCAGTGTTTCATAACTTATTGAGAATGTGTAATGATTTGATCGACCCTATTGAAAGCATACAGAAGTGTAAAGAAACTCGACTGTTTCGCAGCAGTGACTGAAATTGTCGCGTATTGATTCGTTCGTGTCGATTGGAAACCAGTAGCGAATCAGCGATGAAGTGTTTCACTAAATTTTTTTCAGATATTGCATTCTGCTGCTCGAATGCAATTCATTTGTTCTAAAACCTCACTAGTAGTCAATCAACTCTGAGCAGTTCGTTCACAATTAGATTAGTTACCATTGAGTTTGTTCATGAGTTAGTTCTGTCGGGCGTCTTCATTTGCAAACGCAATTCTTCAATCGATTCCATTTATATACTTGATTATTTGATTAGAGCAATTGATAACACCAAAAAATTTGCTTTCCTCCACATTTTCATTAAAAGATGTCAGTCAATGTGACGGACAAAAAACATCGCTGAATAAACACGTCGTATAGCACACAGTCATTAACGTCATATCAACGCCGTATTATGTGTGCACTCATTTCATAGTTCATTTCGTTTCTCTTATTTCAAGCAAAGGTTCCACTTTCATGTTGAATAGTGCATTGATTTCGACTTTCTTCGATTACCACTATGCACTGCCATTCTACTGAACTGATTGTGCGGCTAAATCTTCATCGAACAATCGTTATTCTCATGCATTTAATATTTCTGATGGCGTCTTCCGACAATAGGGATTTTTTTGTAGAGGGGGAATTCTATTCTATTCATAGAGAACATGCGAAACCAAAAACCATTAGACAATATTGTTTGCAGAGAATGGCGTTCATTCAATCAGGCCACATGCGGTTTGTTACGTTTTGGCCTCTTTTTTTAATGCTATCGCAATCTCATCTCGTATTGCGTTTTGCTGAATGCACCCTTCCGAGTTTTTTTTGTTGCGTTTTTTGATTACTTAAAAGTTTTCAACGAATCTATTTTATGCGTTTCTGTGTTCATTTCATTGACTGCGGTTCAAGACTGATGAGCATTTTTCATCATCTCAACAAACGCAGCACCAACTTTTTTTAGTCGATTGGCCTCTTTATAGCACCACATAGTAGCAGCTCATGCATGCTCATACTACTTACATGTATACATTGTTGTTTACATTTCATTTCGTGGTTATCTCCAGTTACCATGTGGTGTTCATTCACTGTGATATTCTCGGCAATAATTGCTAGATTATACGCTTCCAATTTCAGTTATTTGCCTATTCGATCACCATGCATCTGCACGTATCTTCCTACTGCTTCAGCAACATAGCATTCGATCCTCCACACTCATAATGTCGTTGTTCCTTAGAAACGCATAATATTAGATGTTGATTACCAGTAAACAGTTGCAATATTGACGTTGCGCAACATGTAACGGGTTGGTCCACCGTTTAGTATCACCATTTGTATAGTTTTGTAAATTCTTTCTTCTTGAACGTTCACTGGAAGTTATCAGTTCTTCANCTAGTTCGAAACGTGGTATCATGAAAATATTGACACATTTTATAAGGCCGAAGGGCGCGTCCTCCACTTTTATTCATGCATAAGTTCAGCTGTTTGAATACAAAACATTTTCGAATGAAAAAAAAACGCTTTGGATAAGATCTCCATACAAACGTGCCTAAATCAGGAATGCTTTTGTTTTAATGCGCTCAAATTGGTTGTTCTTTTCTCGGTGTTTGGCCATTGATTTATGCTTATTTGACAATTTCAATGAAATTCATTGCCTGAGGTAATTTTGAGTTGGTGTTCATTGTGGCGATTGTGAATAAATAATGAGAAGGTGTTTTTTGGGAACGAACATAATTCGTCACAGATGAGAGTGGGAAAATGAATGCGTGAAGAAACGAAGGAATGAATGCATAGGTTGCATTCGATCGCTCATGCACCATCACGCAACCAACCACTCAACGAGGCAATGAACGAATAATCCATCTCTACAACACACACAATAATCAATCCTTGTTTCTCACTTCTCATCATTCTTAGATTGTCATCTTCTTCGTCTTCAAAAAGGTGCAACACGACGATCAATAGCTCCTTCCATCATTCACTCAATATATTTGCTCTTACCATTTCCATATTGAAATCAATTCACATATTCATTAACATATCCTCATTCATATTCCAATCAAACATCGAAGGGTTCAATAAATATTTATATGAATTTTGATGTGCTCATATTTATGACAATTTGCAATATTCAATTGATGTGGAGAAGAGAATTCACTTCGCTGATTTCATGCATTATCGGCTGAAATGGCGAGTGTATGCATGCATGTATGTATATATGTCTCAAAACTGATTTCATAATTCAAAATGCACTCAAATAGAAACATCGCACATTGTATGCGAATGCAATATGCTACCTGCTCATTCTTTGTTCGCCTCAATTCACCGCAACATGATTACTTGTTTAGCTATTTCTTCTTCTTCTTTAGATGAATGTGTATTTTGTTTATCTCATGAAATTATTTCAACTTAAATTCAGTTATATGCGGTTGGATTGTTCAGAGATCCACTGGGAGACGAACGCTCGATGCAGCAGCTGATTTCTAGTTGTAAACGATTTGGTTACGAGCACCAAATTAGTTTATAAAAGAACATAAATCGATATGCAAATTTTAAATGCAATCGAATCAAAATAACTTGAATCAGATTACCATTTATCAAATCACATTAATATCGTTCACTCCGTTCAGTCAGAATGCGATTTGAAGCGTTCCCCAACACAAATTTTCTTTTGCGTAACATTGAACTGAACTGCCTTATGAATCATCGAAGAATGCGATAAAATATGGCGTATCAGCCTGCTGGAGGAAGCATAAGTGCAACGAAATGATATGATGAATTCACGAGTGTTGCTATTGCATATTGTTCGCTTAATTAATTCCACTCAGTGCATGGTTCTTACTGGCCGACTAATAAAGAACGCTGTTGAAAAGCATTTGTTCAAATAGTGTTGATAATTTACCATTCCTTACAAAATAAGCAAATTCTGATCGCAGTTTCCACTGAATGTTTTCTTGTTTTGCATATTGCTAATAAATTTGATAGTAGTCAAAGAAATTTAATGATTGTCAGAATTTCGATCAGATATTAAAATGATTAAATAGTAAAGTGATTGTGGTTCTCATTTATTAAGTCAATTTTAAAATTTTCTCTATTATGTGTGTTTGATTTGAGTTTTCATTATATGCATTTGTGTTCGCTTCAAAATTAATCACTTATTTACTTGCCTTGTTTGCGCCCATATATTATAGTATATTTTTGGTTACGAGCTTGATAGCGTTTCATACGAATATTTTCATACGCGTATTATTTACGATGTGTTGCGTTTCCCTTGAGATATGGTTACGAATGACTATTGTCTTTGATCAGTATTTGTTTAGAGGAACTTCAGCGATAAGTTATCGCGCGGGCGCAATGACGCAAGTTCGAGCCGTCTACGAGTTTGAAGCACAACCAAACTCTGGTGAGCTGTCGATATCGGTTGACGAAATACTGACAGTTATTAGAGAGGTGATTTTATTGGAGTCTTTTTAAGAATTCTCCTTTTGCTTTTCTGCCATCTACCAATGATAATCTTTTTGTTTTGCGAAAATAGATTCATGATTTGAGACTCAAATCGTTTGAGAAATTAACGTCTGAGTGCAATATGAGCGATTCGAGTTCGCCACAGTTTCTGGCCATGCTACTGGACCTTGTCGTGGTTTTTACATTCTGAATTATCGCGTTTATAGATTCACATAGTTCTTCAAAGGATAGTGAAAGCACTCGTGAAAGTTCATTTCCGTGCCATCTCATGTGACGGAATCGTAAATATCATAAATTTTATCAACATTCTATATCGTTGACTGCAATACAATACCGCAGTTCTTTCGTTCATCTCATTAAAAAATTCATTTTCAGCTCAAAAAATCCAAATAAAAAACTGCCAGTACGTGAGAATAAGACTGACGGTGTATATCATATCATTTTACACATTTCATATTTGATTAATATTTGATTAGAATAAGAACAACGCAGCGAATGTGTTAATTTTAAAAAAAGTCATTTGATAGCCATTAAACCTATCTGTTTACTAGGATCGATTCATAGTTTATGCAACGCACAGAATTGTAATTAATTCGATGCATTACGCTAAAAATTTGTCATGAGAATGAATTTAGCACAATGGTTTTCATAGGGGCGAAATTACCCATTTTGAGTAATTTGTAGGTATGAAGGAGTAATGGAGAGGGTCAGGAAATTAGTATTACGTGCAGTTGTTAGTTATGATAGAACGCTATTGTGATGGTGTTTTTTAACTCGGGTATGTAAATACGGTTAGTTGACAGCAACACTCTTTATTCTCCTATTTTCTGAGTATCATTAGCTCGCCCGGGCCTAACACGGTTTTCATTTGTTTTAGCAGGGCTTTCATTATTTTCTTTGCTGTTGCAATCGCTCTCGTAGCTTTTATCACCGAAAATGTTCTCTTTTGCAAATTTCTCATTCATTTCACTCAACAATTACAGTCAAATTCTCATTCTATCAAATACACTCTATAATTGATTATTTCGCTCT